CAGCATATTTTTCTCTGATCTCTATAATCTCTATGATCTGCAGCTTGGTCATCAAGAGTAACTGTAAATATCTTTTCTTCAGATGGTATTCTCTTATTGCAATGCTTTGACCAGTTATCTTTCTCGTTGTGTCATTTCACTGATTCCTGTCTTTATCACACAGGAATAAGCTAAGCTTGTTTTATTTATTGATTTTTTTATTATTATTAGTTTATCATTTGCTTTTATTATTCTCTCTCTTTTTTTTCTTTTTTTTTTAACCCCAAGATTCTTCATAATATACCCTCTTAAGATAACAGGTACCGTGTTAACTTCTATTCATTTTGCAGTCACTGACAAAGCATCAGTTCTTGTCTTCAGTTTCTATAGAATGCCAGTCTTAATTGCCATTTATTAAATTTTCTAAATTTTCTAGAAATCTTCTTCTTTCAATGTGTTCTCCTCACTGTGGAGAAACCCTCCTCAGTGCCTAGATCTCCTCTATTTACCTACACCTCAAAAGAAAATCTAAACTAAAACGAACCCAAAATATACTATGAGAACCTTGACACAGGGAATACAGTAGTAGTATCCTCTGATGTTTCTCCACAGCTATTTTGGAAAAGAAGGAAAACAAAATAGTGATTTTTATTCTTTATATGTAACTGCTTCTTCAACAAACTATTTAAGATGTAGATAAATAGGACTAGCACCTAGAGCCTTCTCGAGTCCATCAGTTGAAGTGGTTGGAGATGGGGAAGTGTATGGGAAAGTGTGTTTGTTTCTCTGGGCCTCAGCTTTGGTTCAGTGTTGTAGATGGGATGTTGGGCTGTCTCTGTGGCCACTTTTTGTCTCTTAAGTGAATGAAACAATATGCCTGGAGAGCCTGACCAAATGTGTGCATCTGCCATGCTAAAACCTTCAAAAATTACAGTAAAGACACTATGCTGAGTAATTACAAATAAAATATTAAAAAAGTAAATACCCAAACATGGTTAAGCAGATGTATAATTCATCTAATTTTCTTACAGGCTTTTCATGTGTTTTAGTTAACCTGATGGTTTTAAGAAGTGTGCGATGTAACGGACAGCATTTGCAATCCCTAATGCTTTTTTCCATGTTATTTCAGATGAATGTTCCCTGAACAATGGTGGGTGTAGCCATCAGTGTTCTGTAGTTCCTGGAGGAAGAATTGTGTGCTCATGTCCTATGGGATTCAGTCTTAGTATGGACAACAAAACTTGTGAAGTTATGGATTATTGTACCAAACACCTTAAGTGTAGTCAAGTATGTGAGCAGCATAAAAATACTGTCAAGTGCTCCTGTTATGAAGGCTGGAAGCTCAGTAAGGATGGAGAAAATTGCATTAGTACTGGTAAGTGGAGATTCAATTTATTTACAATATTCCAATCATTAATAACTGCTATATCCATGTAGGCGAATTCTCTATTGTGTATTTTTTATTTGGGATATATATATATATATGTGTGTATATATATATATATATACACACACACAGGGAATGTATTTTGAAGAAATTGATCAGTCCGTGATATCAATGACATGGATGAGTTATGTGGAAATATAAGATCAATCTTACAACATGCAAATAAAAGCAGTAGATCTCAGTAGATACAAAGTGCTTTGTCTTGTTTTGTTCTGGCTCCACAGGCAATTTCCAAGCACTGTAAGAGGGTCAGAAGGGGACCTGATTTAGCACTCTTTAGTTTCAAAAAAATGATATCATCTACAATTACCAGTTCTTTGGGTTTAAAAAACATATTTTAAAGGGAATAATGCAGCTGTACTTTGCTCTATTCCTGTTTGTTTATGGTCTCCTGCGGACCACAGGGTGAAAAATGAAGAGCAGATTATTTAGCAAATCAATTAATTTTGACTGAGGCTGTGGCAGAGGTGGGTTGAGTTCTCGTAAGAGCTTGCCTTTGCTGAAAGATGGAGTCATCCTGCCATCTCTTCACACCTAATTTCTTTTGCATTTTCCACACCTTTGTTTCTGTCCTTTCCTTTGCAGTAGTTTTCATCCAACAGGGCAAACATTTTTTACAATTCTTTTTTTAATGTGGTGTTCATTATTGAGAAACACAAAAGAAGTTACTGGTGTTGTTCATCATGTCTGTGTTCTTACGCATTGGAGCTCCTGAAATTCAGCTAGCTTCTGGTCACCTATGTAGTATTCATGTATTTATGTATTTATGTAGCTTCTGGTCTCCTATGTAATAACTGCTAATTTATCACAAGTTGGGGAGTGCTGTTAAACTGTTCCTCAGGTTTAGATAACTGGTGCTTGTGAAACAGCTGCCAGTGTCAGTGATCCCGTTCTTCAAAAAGTTGTTCAACCAGTGCAGAGCTTTGAAAAAAAAAATAGCTTTGCAGAAGCTCAGTTGTTTCCCTGACAAGTATGAGGATCATTTGGAAAGGCCAAGCCAGCCTATGAACTGGTACTTCATGACCACAAACACTGCGCTGCTGAGGTACCTTTTTGACTTAACACAATGCACTGTGTGTGCATTGATCAGTAAGAAGAGAACACTAAGTTTATCTTAAGAAAATACATATATATAAGCATCTTCTTATTGTGTGCGTTGTGTGATAATTTGTGAAATTCCTGACGATTTTAGGAGAACAGTATCATCTATTGTCATAAGCTGCCAGTAAGCTGTTTTCTGTATAAAAAGGAGTTTCCACTGGATGGAAGGAAAAAAAAAAATATTCCAATATCATTCATGTTGCATTCAGGGTGAAGAGCTACAACAAAAGAAAGTCACTTTCTGAAAGAAAAGGGTTGATGTGAAAATGTTTGTTTATTGAAGAGGGTATACTGAATGGACTGGATGGTTCAGAGATCCAGCTTTCTAACATGGTTACTTATTTGAAAATTTTTTTCTAATGTATCATGTGCAAGAACTATAATACAAAATCAATTTATAGTTCATGTGATCTATGGAGAGAGTGCTTACATGTGTTTATAAATATGATTTTGGATAAACTCATGGACATAAGCACCTATGAAAAAAATTCTATCACTAATCATATAGGAATACAAAAGTAGATTTCAGTTGTAAATGGGTTTAAGGATGGTCTCTGTCAATAAGCATATAAAATATTCATTGACTTGTCTAGTATTTTTAACACTTCAATAAAAATGATTCTCTGTATGTATTGTAAATTGTTTTGAACTAATTGTGTTTTGGAACAATGCATAACTTAACAGACTTTTTTTTTTTCCTGAAGCTTTTGTGAAAATGGATTTCAATTTTGGTGGCTTCAAACTTTTAAAATCCTAGTCATGGAAATCCTTGTGGTCGAGCTATAAAATATAGTTCAATAGCTAAGTATGATAGTTCAATAGCTAAAGTACTAATTTTAATGCTCAGTATCTCTACGTGTGATCAAAGGTAACGGTAGAATGGAGAAGTGAAAAATTTCTTGGACTAAAAATGTTTGAAAGACTTCTTATCAGGTGAATTGTTTTAATAATCCTTTTCTTTCAGTAAAATATTCTATGTCTTTCTTATTCCCTGTGTCATTTATATCAATATGTAGCAATCCCTTCTTTATTATTCTTTTGAAATGTATAATCTTTTGCTTCCAGATCCATTTGAGGCTTTCATAATTTTTTCTATCCGACATGAGATCAGAAAAATTGATCTTCACAAACGGGACTACAGCCTCCTCGTTCCTGGTTTGAGAAACACAATAGCGCTTGATTTTCATTTCGGTCAGAGTTTGCTGTACTGGACAGATGTGGTGGAGGACAAAATTTACCGAGGCAAGCTCTCTGATACTGGAGGTATGAATTCAATCCTAGATTTCTTAGTGGTCAAAAGTGCCATTACAGGATATCGGAGCTGACACAAAATCTGTTCTGGCATTCAGCCTTTGCAAAGGTGTACAATGTACAGCTAGGAAAACAGTATGTAAAAATTGCCATTTGCAACATACTGTAGCAGAGGCAAATGCAGAGGGTGGATATTTCTTCCCAGTCCAATAAGAAAAATACTGTTCTTTTTCTTTTTGTAATTTAGTTCGTGTTTAAAAAAAAAAATGCAAGGATTTATCAGGCATCTGATAAGTTATTACTTTTCACTGTAGGTGAACATTCTTGTTTCATAATATTATAGCATTCAAAAAGACTTGACCTTTACCCTGGTAACATAATTATGATCTATAAGTAAGTATAATGTCACGACATACAACAGAGTGTTTCTATAAGATAATGTGCTGAAGTATATCTTCAGGTACTTTTATTTTTGCGTGAGCTAAGAATTAGTAGCATATCCAGCCCAGGGCAGATATTCCCTACATGCTTCTGAGTAGATCAAGTGAAAGACTCACCACCATTAATGACTGTGGCATGTTTGCATGAAACTATGAGAGTCTGCTGCCATCTCACTGTGTTGTGGTGACCCTTTCTTAGAACCCAGATGATATCTGAGGCGTTTTTAAAGTATATTAGTCCAAGCCTGCAGCCGTCTAGAACTAGTTAAATCTCCACAAAGCAGTGTGTCTTCTGGGAACAATTTCTGAGGCTTCCTGTCTTCCTGAGAGCTTACACAGTGCTGCTGTAGTTGCTGTTTACGTGAAAAATTTTGAGACTCTCTTCAGGAAGTTTGTGGTAGGGAAGAGCTGGTAGTCACTGGTAACTATAAATTGTACATGTGAATTTAAAGGAACAAAGTAAGATTATTTACTGTAGAACTTCTTAAAATGAGTAATCTAAACATACTTTTGGTTCTCCCTGGGTGAGGGGAGAGGGGTTCTCCCCTCTCTTCATCACAAACTTTCTGACTTTCGCTCTGGTTGAGTAAGAACTGAAAAGGAGCTGCACAAATGTTGTTTACTGTGCTACTGGAAGATGGAGCATGAGCATGTGCTTCCCAGAGATTGCATGTTTGAGCTCTGGCCTTTATTAAAAATTTTGGAGCGTTAATTACTAAACCATCTGAAAACTAAAATTTTCTGTGACTATGGAATGAATTTACTCATTTATTTATATGTGGCCATAACTGTATTTGTTTACATTTATCTATGACATCCATAAAGAAAAAAATGTTGCATGGAACAAAATACTCTATCACCCATCAGATTAATTCTGAATTGTCTCCAGAAGTGTGAAGCAGCAGTATGTGTCCATCTCCACTCTATAAGGCTCTATATTAGCTCTTTACGATTTTGTTTCTTTTGTTTTTCAGGTGTAAGTGCCATTGAGGTGGTAGTACAGCATGGCCTAGCAACTCCTGAAGGCCTGACTGTAGACTGGATTGCAGGAAACATATATTGGATAGACAGTAATTTGGACCAAATTGAGGTGGCAAAACTAGATGGCACTTTGAGAACAACATTAATAGCAGGAGCTATGGAACATCCAAGGGCAATTGCTCTGGATCCTAGATATGGGTAATTACAAAAAGTTTTCTTTTCCATGTTGCAAAGTATTTTAAAGTTGATGACTTAAATGTGAGATTGTTTAAGTTCCTTTTGGCTGTGAGTGACAAGATCTAATGCATCTTTATTATTATTGAGCCTGCATTTGAGGCAAATGCCATACATAATAATCTTTTTACCCCAGTGAAAAGGGCAAGACAAGGTGAGTCAGCAAGAGAAGGTAAGCCAGGAGATACAGGTGTCTGTTGGCAAATCACTTCTCTTGTCTGTGATCGCTTCCTTTCATTTTAATAATGTGGTTGTTAGTAGGTGGAATCCAGTGGTCCAGCATTCCTGTATGGATAATGGACATATTTAGATATTGCCAAGGCAAGTTCATCTCATTTTGAGATTGGTTTTGATGGGGCTTATACAGTCCATGGGAGGAACTGGGAGCTTCTGCTAAGCTGATTCAGAGAATCTGAATTGAAGGTTAATGTAGATGATGTAAATATACCTACTTTATATGTTTTGGGATATTGAAAAGGTATGTGGGTGCATTGTCAAAGAATGTATACCTTTGCTTGAGTGGTTATTTTAAAACACTGTATACTACTTTTCACAGTGCTAAGTGGAAAGGTCTTCTGAGAAAGCGTTAAGGATTGAAATTGTCCGAAGTCCTTACTCATCAAAAGTCTTGGCGTGCTTTATTATAGTCCACTCTCTATGCAGTTAATTCTTACTTAAAACAATACCTTTCCCAATTTTCTTAGCAAGACTGATCTGTTTCATATGCCCCAGTGACATGCCAAAGTCATGGGGTCCCCATTTGGAATGCTTTTTATAGTTAGGTGAAAATCTCTATTTTCTCATATTCCTATGTCCTTGCTATCTCCTTTCTTCCCTTTCTTCCCTCCCCATCTCCTCATTCAAGCATTACTTTCAAAGCATCTCAAAGTCATATTTTGATGAGCAGGATATCAAATTGTAGAAGGAAGACAAGACAAGCTGTCACTAGTATTAATAGACATAAGAAAGACCTCTTCTAGACTTACAGAGAGAGATGTCTTCACTTTCATGATTGCTCTAAAATTCATGAAACATTAATAATGAAACATTGTCTCCATGTTACCCCGTGACTCTAGGGAATTTGTGTAGTAGCTCAAATTCATCTGTGTATATTCCTTAGTAAGATACTTAAATATATGATTTTTTTTTTCCAGCTTTAGTCTTTTTTGAGCCCCTTAAAATTTTTGGAAGCTTCAAGATGTTCTTATATATGTTTTCTTTTCCCTCTTCTCTCACTAGAATTCTATTTTGGACTGACTGGGATGCAAATTTTCCTCGCATTGAATCTGCTTCCATGAGTGGAGCAGAAAGAAAGATCATATATAAAGACATGGATACTGGAGCCTGGCCTAATGGTCTGACTGTGGATCACTTTGAAAAAAGAATAGTGTGGACAGATGCCAGGTAAAGAGATAATAACTTCTTATTCTTAAATATAAAAATGTGAATGACATGAGAAATGGAATATACATTATGTCCATTTTTTTATTTGTGTTGCTGTTACATATGTCTTCATGGCTCGGTTCTGTGTCCTTCGCACTCTTTGGCATACAGCCATTTACTCCTCGAGTACATTTGATGCATTCAGGAGGTGAATGATACATTTTGTTAAATGCAAGAGAAACCTTATGAGAAATCTTGCTTAAGTTCTTGAGAGAAGATGAGTCATTGAATTGAACCAATTAATGATCATATTGTCAGGGCCCTGAGTGCACCAGTAGGTGTTAATGGCCCTGAGCAGCCTCACCTCAGGTCACAATTATTGTGTAAATTCCTTTTTTTAATTTGTATGTAATCATAAACTTGGGTTTATCTTGTAGATCGGATGCTATTTATTCTGCATTATATGATGGAACAGGCATGATAGAGATCATACGAGGTCATGAATATCTTTCTCACCCGTTTGCTGTTTCTTTATATGGGAGTGAAGTATATTGGACTGATTGGCGGACCAATACACTAGCAAAAGCTAATAAGTGGACCGGCCAAAATGTCAGTGTAATACAAAAAACAAGTGCTCAGCCATTTGATCTTCAGATATATCATCCAAGTCGTCAACCACAAGGTAATTATCTATTTATAGAACAGTTTATTAAATCTCCGAGGGGAATGAGTATTCTTTTTATATACAAATATTTGTGTACAGCTTCGTCTTAAACTAACAGTTCTTAGTTTAGTGCTATATTCAACACTGCTGTTTCTTGGATTATAATACAGATTTTTTTTGAACTAGAAGTTTCATGGGGCTGGCATTCACTTCAGTGAAAATTGTCCAGTTTGCCTTTATTCTTGTTCTGTAATGAATATAATGCAGAACCACATGTATTTAAAAGTCTTCTACCTTAATTTTATTTATTTGAAATAGTCTACCAAAAGCTGCTAGTTTTCTTATACTTTTTCTTAGAGTAAGATCACCTTTTTTTCTGTGAAATAAGCCATGTGTACAATTTTTATTAAAATGAATGTTCACTTGCATAATTGTCTTAATTTGCTAATTTTGTTCCCTGTTTTTATTTTCTACCCAATCCTCTTCGTTTTTGTTTTTATTCTGTGAGGACCATGTGGTTTAGAATCTACCAGTACAGACTGCTGCTCTACCTAAATAGCCTAGCACAGGTTTTATCTATGAATTGAAGCTTTTCAAAAGCATATTTCATTCACTTAACAGCTCTTATTTTGCAGTAACATTTGCAACTTGCAATTCAAATTAAAATATTATCTTTTGCATAGGAGAGGGGACTCAACCTGCTGGAGGCATGAGTCTCAAAGCGAAAACTTCAAGAAACGTTAAAACCTTTTTCTTTGTATAGATAGCTATCCAAACTAAGAGGAAGTTCACAGCACCTGTGTTAGTTAAAAAGTAATAGAATATTCCTTAATTATTCCTTGATGCATGATTTTGTAATTTTAACTTCCAAAAATCACATATATATAACTTACCTGTTGATGTGCGTATATTTCCATTTCAATTCTTCAGCAACACTTGAATCAACACTAGAGAACTGACACACAATTTTAGGAAGCTGGTATGTGCATAGGCTTTGAAATTAGATTCTAAGAGCTGAAGATCACCAAACACATAACAAGTATTTAATGTTAGCTATCTGATATAATGAAATAGTCTGTTTAATTCTCAGTGAAATATGCAAAAACCTGCTAAAACTTATCTCCTCGAGACAGATTTACAATGACTTTCTCATACTTCATATAGGTAAAAAGAGTAATATTTTCAGCTGAAGCTTCAGAAGATTTTATCACCGGATTGTAAAGCTCTCATTCAGATGGTGAACATTTAGTCAAGAAATTCAAATTACTGACTTCAGTTGTTCATACGTGTGAACGGTGCTTATCTGGACTAAAAAAGAAATTGGAGTAGCCCATTAGTAACACATTCGGTATCTTTCCACATTATAATTTTATATTTCTGTAAGAATTGCAAGGCTTATGAACACAGACACATATGTAAAGTTATGATGACATGAAATAATTCAGCTCTAAATTTTCTGACTTAGATTACTGCAATATATGAACTTTGTATTCAAATAAGCATGATGCTTATAACATAAACAGTAATCAAAACCAATTTACAGAGAGACTTAGCAAATGTTGCTGTGGTTTCATTCTGATATTACCTATTTATTGTTAGGGCTCTTTGCTGCTGATCTAAATGTGTCTTCTTGCCTTCCCCCATACCACCTTTCTTCCCCAAATGCTGTCTAATTGAAGATAGATCAGTCCAAGATGCTTCATACAGAACTAATACCTGGCAATATTCTTGCTAATAATTGTCACCACTTAAACAATCATTCCAAATACACATTTCATTGGGCTTTATATTAGCTCTTATTTTGAGCTTTTAAATACTGAACCCTTCAAAGTCCATGACTTTGGAATTACATATATTAATGGAAATATTTGGAAAATGGTTATTATTACATAATCATTTAGTAGTGGGGGTTGGAAATTTGAGTTTGTATTTACTCGATGTAAAATAGTGAGGATAAAGCAGTAGTTCAAAAAGTAATGAAGGCATATGATAGAATATGGAGCAGAAGAATACTTTTTTGAGTGAATGTCTTCAGTTATTTTGTCAGATAGTTACTTGGTCATTCTACACAGGTCATTCTCTGAGTGGACCTCCAGATAAAAAGGCAAAGTGTTACTACTGGTGAATGAAGTGGATTTTTTAGTTACAACTGTAGCTACTTGAATTAAAATGTGTTTATAGTTACATTTAAAGATACAAAGACTAGTATACGATAAGAATTACGATATACGATTACAATATACGATACAATACGATTACAGAAATACGATAACTGGCAGAGGGAAGAATCTGTAGCAGTGGCATGCCTAATTTGTGAATATTTACTTAAAAATATGCATATGCACATATTTACATGTGTTCATTATATACATTTTTCCCCATATTTTTGTAGTGTTTGTTGATTTGTTCAGCTTAATATTTGGAGATTCAAGATATATCACTAGATATATCCACTAGATATATCTTGAATCTCCATATATATTTGTAGATATCAAGATACACCACTAGTGATATATCTTAGTATCTATGAATAAACAAAATTCTGTGGTTATAGGCCATAGCAAGGCCTATCTGTAGAATTTTTGCAGGTTTACCCTGAAAAACAATAATGATGGAAAGGCAATTTAATGTGTGTGTCTATTGCAAAATATACAGCATACAGTATAATTTGTTTGCAAACATAGGAAAGTTGGGTGAAAAAGCATGTAAGGGAGAGCAGTCTCAGAACATTCCATGACCATGTTGATGGTAGTAGAAGCTCATTTGAAATTCATATCATGTACTTAAGGTTTTCTGATACATTATGCTTGTTCTTTAATATTAAGAAACGACCTTCTGATTTTCCTTTAGCCCAGGGTTTGTAATGTGCAGTAAGCTATTCAGTTTTCTATGTTAGTGGATCCTGGGCAGTATTTATTTAAAAGCAGCCTAACAATTTTGGATGGCTTTGTAAATGTCCTAGAACATAGTTCTGCACTAGTTACACATAGCAGAATATAGATGTAGCTCTGATGTAAATGAGGACCTGCAAGTGTTCCCTACAGACTAGTAGGCAGGAGCTTTGAAGAATGCAACATCTATATTTGCTGTTCTCACAATTCTGGGAGAGTTTCTTATTAGCTATTTCTTACTGTTAGAAAAAACAGTTATCATCTGTTCCATTTTGGAGTGGAGCCAAACAATTTTTGGGAGATGCCATGTTTTTATAGAGAGACTGCAGACTAAGATGATGTGTTAGTGAGTATTCCGCAGCCAGACAGATACTTCCCTAAAGGCAAGCTACAGGAGAAGTTTTCAGCTGGTGTCAGAATCAAGAAGTTTAATTATCAGCTGTCTGTGCACAACTTTATTTTTATGATATATAAAATGCCAGATTCCAGGTTATGATTGGTCTTCAGCGTTTGCTTTAAATTGTTTTCTTTCAGTGAAAGCAGTTCCTTCTTACAAATAGTACAGTAAGCTCATTTGGTACTAGGGAAAAAAACGATGATACTCTGAGAATATTTCTTCATTTTTCCTTTGAATTTTAACATTTAAGGAATGAGAGAAACATTAGAATTCCCCCAAGAGGTTACCGTTGTATTGGCACTGCAGGAATTTGGCACTGGAGGACAAACACGGTGGAGTGTCAGATCATAGGTGTACATCCACGTTTCCCATGTAGGTGAAAGACTATTAGCTCTTTTAACATACTATGTGATTTATTTTGATGGAAGTAGGACCATATGAATTCCTGTAGTCAAAAGCATAGTATTTGAGTTAATTTATGAATACCAATTAAAGGCAGCAAAATTTTACTGATGTTTGTATGAATGAGGTATTTACAAAATAGGTTCACATGTTAGTTAACCTGAAGGATCTGTGTTCTGCTGCCACATGATGTCACACCTGAGTTGGAGACCCACTCATCTTCACAGAATTACAGCTGTGTGTCAGGAATGCTTCTGACATAGAAAATGTGGGGCTTTAGCAAGAACATTTTCTCAACTACCCCTAAGTTTTAAAAATCCACTGGCTGTAAAGAGCCATGTCCCTGTTCTAGACATGAGAAGTTGCAGCTGTACTGTGAGGTGAACTACTGAGGAGAGTGACGAGAGGAGTCAGTACAGCACTCTGGATCTCACAGGATCACAGCTTAAAAAAGGTTAGCTGAGAAGTCCTTAACCATCTCTGCTTCCTTATTATTTCTTAATGAAATTAGTTTGTATTTAATAATCATGGCCGTGGCCTTATTTTTCTTTTTGCAGACTCAATTTTTGTACATTAAAAAATAGGACAAGCGGTATAGTAACTGCTGAACATAAAGTATACTGACACCACTGGGCTCTGTTTTGTAATTAAAGCATTGAAATGTTTAACTTCATAGCACTGTTTTGCTATGTTACTCTGTGGGGGCCTGAATTGCCAGCTGTTAAACTAAATAATGTTTTACAGAAAGGTAGCTTAAGATGCACTTGAGGGAAGTTTTGATTATCATATTTTGTCAGGGATTATTTTTTTTTAAACGTTACTGTATTGAGTTTTAATCAGAAGCTATATATATACATTGTTTTTAGTCAAAAACCACAAACAAGACTGGAATCTGTGTTACAAAATATACAAATACATATAATTTTTAAATCTTTCAGTACGACTGAATTCCTTCATTCCTCATGTAAGTTCCATTTTTATAATTTTTGCTGTTGACTATATGAAACAAGGCACTGAAACATGTTCGTTGGGCATCTTAACATAACAGCCTAACTGAGCAGCCTGTCTTTCACAACAGTGGAGGATCAGTGCCCGCAGGAAAGTGTGGAGCTGAAGAAAGCTGCAGTCGCACTCTTCCAGGACACTGTATAAGCTTCCAGTAATCTGCGCCCACATTTTTTGATTTAGACAGATTTTTCTTACATGAACAAATTGATTTTTTGAAGCTCTGGATCTCCGCAGCTTTTTGGACAGATGGTTCTGCAGTGTAACTCTTCCTTGCGTGAAGGAGCAGCTCATCTTGTTTGCTTTGACCCTGCTGCCTGATATTTCTGTTTAGGATGTGTACCTATCTCTTGCAATGGGAGAGGTGTTGGGCTGTCATTTTTTTTTTTTGTCTCACTTGGAGTTATTATATATGAATAAAAACTCAGCTGTATAATCAACAATAGTAAAAAAGCAAATAGGATGTTAAGATTATTATACCGTGTGTAGCTAAGCTGTAGATCTCGTCACGTTACAGATAGGAACAGCTAGTTCAAGTGCTCAGCACTGTGCATGTAACTTGCACAGTCTCTTTCAGTATTTATGTTATTGTACATTTACTCTGTTTTATGTGTTCTTTTATTTCTCAGTCATTTGGTCATGTAACTCTTTTCTTAGTTGGATTTCATTTAGTCTTTTTTTTTTTTTTTTTTTTTTTTACATATTTGAATACAATGAATAGGGCATAACCTGCTGCAGAGAATCCCTTTATTTGGAAAACCAGATGCTTATTCTTACTCTTTCGTTCTTGTCCTTTATTAAGTTATTAATCTGTGACGGGACTTTCCTTTTCTCAGCCTGGCTCAGTTTCTTTACAAAAGAATCATCTAGGGAATTTGTTGAAAATCTTTTTGAATTTAAAGTTGATATATCATTGGAGTAGATCCTGCATGCGTGTTCATAGCTGTGACTGGTGAATCATGAGCTTGTGATATAAAAAACGTTTGACTTTTTCACATTATATCACATTTGTTCATCTGGCTGATGATTTGGTTATTTAGTGTAGTTTCTGCATCTGGCTTATATGGAAGCCAAGCCTATTGGTTCTGGCTGGGGAACATCCCGAAAGAAGGAAAAGTTACAGGAAAAAAAAAAAGTCTGTAGATAACTGTGACCATTTGTACCTCTTATTTACTGACAGAATTTCTACCAATTTCCTCCTAGTTTATCTTATGCCGATGTGATGAAAGACAGATTATGCCAGCAAAATGGTGCAAGATTCATATCACACACTTAATGTAGGACTCTGTGTAATCAAAATGTCACAGAAAGTCAGCAATAGCAAATAAGTTAGCAAAAAAAAATTAATACAACCTTTACCAACAGTTATTAATGTCAGTGCTGTTACTGTTTGGTTCTTGACTGTATTTAATCAAAATTGGAATATTGCAATCTATGATTCAGATGAGAGACTAGAGCTTAATGGTACAAAATGCGCACTGAAAAAACAAAGGCCATTCCCCTCCTGCAATGACATCTTCATGTCATTGATAGAGGAATGAAACCTTGCTCCAGAAGGTGTTTTTATATTTTGTGTATTTCATTGTGTGATTCCAGCTTCTAATCCTTGTGCTGCTAACGAGGGCAGAGGTCCGTGTTCACACATGTGTCTGATCAGTCACAACAGAAGTGCTGCATGTGCATGTCCTCATCTAATGAAACTGTCTGTGGACAGGAAAACATGTTATGGTAAGTTTTTCTCCCATAACCTGAAAATTGCATTGGTTTTAGGATGGAGAAATTAGAATGCACAATCTTAAAAATTGTCTCTGCAGTGCATTGTAGTGATAAACTTTAAAGGGACCTCACATCTGGAGAATTGATAATACATGAGGTGTGTGGAGCTTTGATACTGCTACCTTCATCATTTTTTTCCTATTGCCCATGCGTATGACATGCTAGTGGAATTTATCTTTGCAAAACAGGAAGATTAATAGTGTAAAGAGCATTATCAGAAAATGATGAGTCAAGTAACCTGAATAACAAAAAGGTACTTAATGACTTTAATCTCTACCTGTTCTTCTAAAGTTCCCTTAGTTTCATTTTCAGGGATTAAGAACTAAATGAAGAATAAATATTAAACATGCCGCCTTTCAGGAGAGTTTTATAAAAAAAAGTATAACACTTTTAAGCTGTAAAAGCCCTAGAAATGTCAAATAATTGTGTCCGTTATTTGTAAAACCTTGTAATACAGTATTCTTCTCAGTGTCCATTAATAGTGTCTAGAAAATCTGAAGAAAAAATATTTTCTCGCATCAATGGATATTAGAAAGAAAGAAGGTACCCTTTATATATATATTTGACCTTTGCTAAAATATTTTTAGAGGTATGAGGTAAAAAGTAGGGTTCTGTCCTGCCTTTACTGATTTAATGAATCACACTTTTCATTAGGGGATATCTACATTTGTTTTAACATTCAGTGAGCTTTCCTTCCCCTTATCCACTCCCCTTTTGCCTTTAACATTTAACAGTTGCACTGAGGGATTCCTGATAACTTTCGTTCTTTGGTTTTCAAAACATTCTTCTTGTTCTACTCTGTTCTCCTGAGATATTATATGTCGATTTTATTTTTATGATGTGCAAATGAAGCAGTGCTTTTGATGGGGTAAGAACGTTATTTTAAAAAATAAACTTTAAGTTTTTTCCTTAGATTTTTACAAGACAATATTGATAATTGACAGGAGTGGTGGCATAGTAACATCTTTTCCAGGATTAATATATTTTTTGTATGATTTTATACTCCATAACATACTTTGGTTTGTTATGAGGGTGCAAGCCTTCTGGAAATCCTGTGTCATTCATACACTTTTATTTAAGCACTTTTTATTTGGAAAGTGTTCTCATTAGACTTCATTTAGCCACTGACGTAAGGAAGATGAGAACTGCTATTTTCCTGTTTCTCTACAGAAAAGAAGAAATTTCTTCTTTATGCAAGACATTCAGAAATAAGAGGTGTGGACATAGAGAACCCCTACTTCAACTTCATCACAGCCTTCACCGTTCCCGACATTGATGATGTCACGGTCATAGATTTTGATGCCATTGAGGAACGTTTGTACTGGACTGATGTGAAAACACAGACCATCAAGCGTGCCTTCATTAATGGCACTGGCCTAGAAACCATTATCTCAAGAGGTAAATAATGTAGTATTAAGTTTCAAATAATTAATCGGGGTAAATGTTTGTGTATTTTTTATATGCAACATGATGAGAATTTGGGTTTTGTTAGGTACACCTTTCACAGATCTTGGATGATTCATGTAAACAATAATAATAATAAAAAACATTATTTTACTTAGGATTATGGTTCATTTTATAGATACATTAATTTTTATTTAAATAAAGTTAAAATGTAACATATTTTGTAAAGAATTTAAATATGGAGTAGTGAAGAATTAAAATACTGTTTTCTGGGAAAGGTAGAATGTTTTAAAGACAAAAAGCAGAAAAATAACTGCCTGAAATCGCTTTGCTTTAAAAATACCATGTGGACTTCCTACATCCTTTGGCTAGCTGTGCTTTCTTACAGAAGTAGTTAGCCCCACCAGAACCCGTGAATGTTTGGCAACTGTGGGAGGATCAGCCCATGCTGTAGCTTTGTCATTTGCTGATCTTTGTGTTACCAATTTACCTCCTGCAATGTGTGTAAGGTCCAAAGTGAATGCCATGAGACTGTTCAGGTCCAGTAGTGGCCAAGTGAAGCAAGTATTTTTACTCTGTAGAACTAGAGCCTTTAATTTTGCATATTTGTATCCTGAGTATCCTTCTGCTGTCATTGCTGCTTCAGTTACAATGCTACAAACAGGTTTTCCTGAGATTTTTCATCTAAGTAGGTTGCTTACGCCAAGGAAGGGAACGCATACTCCAAAAGGAGTGCTGTAAATGGAGAGTCACGCCTGGCTGCTTTTCTGCACCTGCATTGTTCCAACACTGCTGCTCCCTGCTTTCCGTTCAGAGACTGAAGAGATCTAAAGCCTCTACTGGATTGCTTCCACCCTATGCCAGTATCTCCCGTGCTAAACTGATGCTGTTTGTTGCCTTTTCTATATTGGCTCCTGTCCTGGCAGCACACAGTCTTCTATTGTTTAGCATGTGCTGCTTGCTTCACAACAGGACTGGCTGACAGGAACTCTGTGGAGGAGTATGGGCAAATATGCAAGCTAAAGGAATTCTTAGATCCTCAACTATTGCATGTATATTTAACTTTCTGTATATTACAGAAAGTTAATGGATAAAAGTATTCAGTATGTATGACTACATCTGTTTATCGTGCATTGTTTCATAATTCCAACTAGCTTTTTATTTGTTTAGTAGTTTTTGTATGTGTCAGATGTAATTTTTATTTATATAAAATTTATAAAATTACAGTGTTCTGACACATGCAAACTTTACAGGGGCTGCTCGTTATGTGTAAAAGATCACATTTGCTTACACTTACATTTTCTTACTTCTCATAAGAACATAAGAAGCTTTAGAAGCGTGTGCTACTGGATTCTCAGTGGATGAAGTATTAAGCCAGTGTCACAACCATGTCAAAGTCATGTTTTAATCTTTTTAAGAGTATGATGAAATCCTTATTTTCTAGTTCCTCCAATCTTAAAAAAAAAAAAAAAAAAAAGCAGGAGTTCCGTTTAAAGTGGGTCATGGCTGCATGTTTGGGGTCCTTTGTTCCATTTACCAAAGTGGACAAACTTCCCAAAGTCCAGTCACCATTTAACCTTCAGTATATGCAGGTCACTCCACAGCAACTTCCCTTTTAGTTCATCAATGAGAATAATTCAGTGAAAGCAACCTAAGGAGAGGAGTTGCTGTACAAAGTGAACTGTGAGCAGTTTTGCGGTCTGCAGAGATGCTGGCTAATGCAGATCTTTGCTAAGGCAAGGCAGGGCGTGCTGGTATCCAGACCTTCAGCAGTGCATTACACCCAGAATTTAAGGCATGGAGTGTGGGCAATACATGTGGTTCTGGTGAACATAGAAGTATTCCAGCAGTGTGATTTATTTATATATTTATTTTTCACAGCATCCCTTGATCCTTTTGAAACGTGGAAGGTGTTGAATGCCTAGTAGAGTACGTCATGTAGTGTTGTGCCGTGATCCATGCTTTTTCCTTTTTCATTCTTTAACCAGTACTGTGCCAAGGAGGGCTATCACTTGCCAAAAACTGTGAAGCTACCAAAGCAATCATACCTTCTGCATGTTTTGCTTTTTCTGAATACCATCCTAGCTCATGGATGGGCTCATCAGTGAGGACAAAGCATCATTTCCTAGTGGAATGTAACTTGTTCTGCGTCATCATGTGAATGAGTAATAAATGATTTTCTTAGTAGAAAAATATTCTGAAAAAATATAGAGACTGAGTTTTGTTATTATTTCCATGTTAATATTTGTTGCAGTATCTGGCGCCAAAATAAAAGCGATCATTGCTTATTGCACCTTGTTACAGTATTGTAGGAATTTGTTAAAAAATAGCAGAAGTTTTTTTTTTTTTTTTCCTTCCTGAAACTCTGAAAATTTACAAAGTAAATCAAAAGAGCAACTGCTTTCACTTTTTGCAGATATTCAGAGTATCAGAGGTCTTGCAGTGGATTGGATATCACGTAATTTATACTGGATTAGCTCGGAATTTGATGAAACACAAATTAATGTGGCACATTTGGATGGTTCCTTGAAAACTTCCATCATCCATGGAATTGATAAACCCCAGTGTCTTGCAGTTCACCCAGTAAGAGGGTAATATATTTGTAGTTTTAATGTTACCATAAAGTTCAGCAGAAGCTTTTTTTTATTCAGATTTTGAGTTTGCTTGTTCTATTTTTGTGCAATTTTACTAAATGCATGCATTTGAAAGATTTTGTACAGAAATTCTCAACTGAGTATTACTTCTATGCCAAAGCTTACTGTTAATTAAATTGTATAACCGCTACTTCTGTATTATGTACTTTTAAAATCTATATACATTTTTCACTACTGATGTATTAAAAATACTGTATACCCAATGCAGTGTTTACAATATACTCTGTTTCTTTCTCAGTAAGCTTTATTGGACAGATGGAAACACAATTAATATGGCAAACATGGATGGCAGCAACAACAAAATACTGTTTCAGAATCAAAAAGATCCTGTTGGTAAGTAATACTACTTATGTATACCATGATGTTTCTCACATTCTGTAGGACAAGGATATTAATATGTTTAGAGGCATTAAAAACATCTGATATAATTTTGCGTTTTACTGTTCTAAGGTATTTTTGTCCCAGTTTAGTCGCATTGAAATCTACTATAATCAATCAAATGATGTAAGTGTTCATGTTTAGGATTACTGGAGATGAAATGGTACTCATACATCTGTCTTCATCTTTAGATTGGGGTAAAAATACAAAGAGTAGGTTTTTAATAAACTTTTTAATACATAGTTTAAAATATTTTTATATAAACTATGTTTAAGAAATATGTGGGAGGATTATTCTACCAGAAACATAACTGTCCTCATCAGAATGCCAGGTGTATGATGAAAAGATAACTTAAATCTTAACTTTCCATTCATAGCAAAGAGCAGAAATGGATAAATTAAATTGATATAAATCCATAACTCTTATTTTTAATATTTTATCATTAACATAGTTCATAAATTATACCACCTTACAAAAAATCATTCAGGTCTCTTTCCTCCTTTCTCTTTTTTCTTTTATTTTTTGTTTTCTTGTGATGCAATTCTCTCTAACTAAAGGAATCATTCTGATTGTTTTGCTTTTTTAATGCCCCATCAATAAAGTGTTTAAATTTTAATGTGTTTATTGTTTTTCCTAACTGAATGTTAGTGAGCCAAAGCAAAAATAAATGATATAACTAAATAATTAATTTGAGGTTAGAGCAAACACAATATGCATTTTAGTCCTGAAATTGAAAATAGTTTTATAGAAAATATGTGATAACTCTTTTTTTTCTGATTTGGCTTTGTATCTCTCCACCTTAAGAGACATAAATCTATTTGGAGAAAAGGGGAGAAAAAAAAAAAGAGCCAAAGCTACTAAATTTAAGGTGAGCACAAAAAAAATTTAAATGAATTGGGAAATATTAAGGAATAATGTTGTGTACAACAATTTGCACTGAATATCCTGTGATTGAGGACAGGGCGACAGGGCCCTGAATTGCAGTATTTATGGTGTCTGTTGTGTTTGTTCTGACTATCGGTAAATCCACTGAGCCAAATATTTGGTAGAATGCTCTAAGCATTTCAGCTTTAAACGGTAGACTGCATCTGCCAATCCATATGGGTTTTGTGACTTCTTTTTCCTCATGGACATGTCTTACTGGTATCAGCTAGACTATTTATGTATTTAAACATCTCATTAAGCCATGTAGGCCTGAGAATTGTGAGAGAAGTGGAATTTTAGGGTTTGTTTTGTTTGGTATTTTTTGGTTTCACCTTCACCATAGAGCTGTGAGTGAAGCAAATTGTCGTTGTATAGTAAGGGACTAATTAAAAATTATTAAGAACTCATGAGACTTATTTGAAATAGCTTATATTCAGCTCTAAAAGTGTGTATAAAAGTATGAATAATGGAGTCCCGTTAGGAAACTAGAAAGACTTGATTGTTTTTTTCTATTCTTCTTGCCAACCTGAAGGTGTCCTACATCATAAACTATGTCTGTGTGTAGGTTTATATATGTGTGTATATAAAGGCAAGGTAAAGCTGTCTCTGTCTATCAATGAAATACTTTTGAAGTGGTAGATGTCTTGCTTAATTTTATTGTCAGACAAAATAGACAGGAATAAAAGCTGTTGAATGTCTTCCGTATGCCAAACTTGAAATATAAAATATATTAAATATTAGTCCGAATGTTTAAATTAATTCTATCATTAGAATTAGAAATATACCTACTGCTGAAGAGTTGGAAGACCATACTAAAAATTTCAATTCAATAATTCATTTCTTAATTACAATTTAAACAGTATTTCTGAATTAGTAAAAATTCAGTTCTTGTAATTTAGTGATACTTAATATTTGGAGAGCAATATGAATGATCTAATAAGTGAACTACCAAGAAGGTTATTGAAAAAGACAAATATGTGGCTTGCTGTGTTTAGATATCTTGACAATTTATGCTTTTGGACTTTTGAGACATAATTTCAACATTTAAAGAGTGAGCGGAAGTTTTCCAACCTATGACTTGAAATAATCTGATGGTATTTTCTCAGCTTGGATCATAATTAAAAGAAGGAAATTCTTTCAATTTAATTAGAAAATGTTTCAACATGAAGAGAATTTAAGTAGCAATTTTTTTGTAACTGATAATTTTAGGAGGATAGATTTTAGTCCATTTTTATCTTAATTACCAGGTCTGACTTGTCCTTTCTGCAGTTCAAAAAGGCTCAATTATTGACATATATACACTGGTTGAGTAAAAAAGAGCTATTCTCTGGGATTTTATTAAGTTACCTTCTTAGGGATTAGGTTTTTTTAGTGCTTCGTTTGGCTTTTGTGCTTTGTAAGGCAGATCACTCCACAACCAAACATCTATTTTATGAGTGTGCATTGCTCTCAAGTACTAACTTGGAACCTTTTAGTAGTTTTGACAGGAAAAAAAAATATTTTAAGTAGAAACTAACATTTGAAACAATCCATTATTAAGCTAAAAGTTCCTAAATAAGATTTATTGCTTAGCTTTAATAAGTACTTGAAATAGTTTACATGTGATTGGATTTTAATTTGCCAATTAAGGCTAATATCATATTTTTCTGTGATTAGTATAGTTTCTAAGTCTGTGTCAGTCTGTCTCCCAGCACTGAACTGCCTAATTTTGCTAGCTGTAGTGGTTATTTGCACTGTGCTTACAGGCTTTTGTCATTCACAGATGCTACCCACCCAAAACATCATTAAGATGTTAAAAGAGTAGAATATCCATATAGGAGATAGTACATCACAACCTAAAGAATAGGTTGCCTCAATCATCTTCTGTAAAGTTATTTTCAAGCAGTGTAGGTTTTTGGAGAGCTACTCTTCAAGTACATGCGCCTCAGTACTAGTGAGTTATCGCTCAAGAATCCAGAGCACTGAGAATTGCCTAAGCCCCAAGTATGTGGAAAAGGCCTGTCTTCAACTGGAACATAAAAGCCTAGATCTTGCAGAAGCTAATAAAACAAAATAGGTAAATCTTTGTGGCTGGGCATAAGGTTTTGGTGAAGAAAACGCCAAACACACACTTCCCCCTCCCGCCCCACACACATGAAATTTGTCCTATGCCAACTGAAATTCTCAATGCAGGATACATGTCTGACATGAGATGAAGCTGCAGGTAGCCTGTATTTTCAATTTGTAGTTTAATTTTAGAAATCTCTTGGCCTGTCAAGGCCTGATCCTCATTCTATTAATTTGCTGCCTTTAGTCCTATGGGAAGGAGGAAATGCATATGACTGGCTCAAAGGTTGCACCAGATGAGGTCTATGTAAGAGCGATGGTGTGACAGAAAGTCACTGCTACGGCAGTTCTTCGACTGTATGGCAGAATGGTGATTTTCTTTACACCCTTTACTCAACGTAGATCTGTGGGCTCACCCTCATTAGTGCTAGTTCATTGAAGTGTCTCATCTGATGACTGTCAGCTCTTTGAAGCTCTTGGAGTGTCTGCGATGCTTTGTCTCCCCTCGATGGACTTGCCTTCCTTTCCGCTCAGTTTTCTGAAGGAAAAAACAGACAGTATAAATATGAGGCAGACACTGCTTGTGCTCAGGTAATGGCCGGTGCTTTCCAGGCAGTGTTGCAAAGGGCACGCAGCATTGCTCTACATAGCTGTGTACAAAGTCGGTAGACATTTCTTTTCTACAGATTTAGGTTAAATTAGACAACTGTGATATAAGGTATGAGCTGGCCAGCCACAGCAGAATGCATTGTGAATGTCTGTTGAGCTCACTAGCAGAAAATCACCTGTTTTCATTAGTAAATACAGAATAATTCCTGAAAAAAAAATCTATCTCAATAAACACTCTTTGTCGAGAATGAAAAATAATATGATTTCACAAAGATCAATAATTGCTGGTATAACACAGCAGAAAAATATTCTGGGAGGAAAGATGTGGTAGAGGTGGGAATAAGGAAATAGGAGTGTTAGTTTTGTCAGATGTGGGAGTGTGATTGGCACACCTGTGCATACAAATGCTACAAGCAGGAAACCTGACAACGTTGGAATTGCTGTGCACAGAATACACAGCCCAGGATAGATGTGTCTGTATGAAAGTGGAGAGCAGCTGACTGGCAGCAGTAAAGAAACAGAGAGCAGCAAATGCTCTCCATCTCAGAGCAAGGAAACCTATTATTGAGGATTGAATTTGTAACTGTAGGAAGGTCCATCCAGATTTCCAGGAAAGCTTCCCAAGCTTACTGTAGATTCTGTGACTTCCACTTGTTCAGTCCTTCCTCATTGATTAGTGCTTATTCTAGAAGCATAAAAACAGTTAGGTGCAGAGGGATGTTGCAAGATCACTCGCTCCTGAAGCAACTACTCAGCAGCTTTCTCCTCTCCTGAGTTTGTCTGTCTGTTTGGGGGGGTTTTGCTTTTGTTTTTTTAAACTCTCATGCCTTTAGGTAAACCAATTGCAGACAAAGTTAAAACTATGAGTTACTGGAAACGAACTGTAAAGCCGTTATTGGAAAGTTTAGAAAGCGGAATCTATTGGACCTCATAATAGACCTCTTGGTCTATTATGTCAAATGTGTGTGAGAAGCAGTGGCCTGCTGCCAGCTGTAAGTAGTGGAGCACACAGCACTGCCTTGTCACATCAGGATTTTGAAAACGGATCTGGCTTTCCATGGAAAAGCATATTACAGGATGCAAGGAGGGTAGTGTCAAATTCTTAGATTTTGACCTAGGGAGTGAAATACAGTATTTTGGGGGAAGTTGCTGGGTTCTGGGAAAAGTCTAGTACTGTGGCAAATTATTATGGCATATCTTGTCACCATGCCCAGCAAATTTCACAGTGGAAAATCTCCTACTAAAATTACCTGAACATTTTTGAAGGATTATAGAACTCTGAAATATTTATCTCCTTGTTACTTGCTGTTATTTCCAGAATAATGTATGCTTTGTTTATGAGGTAGAATATTCTGCAAGTATTTTCATTTCTACGCTTTTCCTGTTTCTGATGATGAAAGTTGATCGTGAAATCACTTTACTATGAAGTGAAATTAAAATTAATGCTATAAGTTGAAGCAACTTTCAAACAAGTAGGGTTTTTTTCATATTTTAAGGTTTGTCAGCATTCTAAGCAGGAGACTGTGTATGCGAGAGCAGGTTCTTAACAAAAAATAGTTGTTTTTTAAGTATTCGTATATTCATAATTTTAGAATGAAAGTTGGCTGAAAGTTAATGACTTCTCCTAGGTTCTCAGTTCATCCAAGCAGTTGCACACTGCCAGATGATCAGGCAGCCGCTGATTGATTTCTGTAGGTGGAAGAAGTATAAAAAGATAAAAAGGCAGGAATCTTTGAAAAAGTATTCACTATAAAAGGCCAAGTTTTGTATTTTTTTTTGGATTGATAGGTAGATAGATAACAATAGCTCTTTTTTTTTTAATTGCAGGTTTATCGATTGATTATGTGGAGAACAAACTTTACTGGATCAGTTCAGGAAATGGAACCATAAATCGATGTAATTTGGATGGTGGTAATCTTGAAATAATAGAGTCAATGAAAGAAGACTTAACAAAAGCTACAGCTTTAACCATTATGGGTAAGTCCAGTGGTAACATCTTACCTTTCAAGTGATTGGATGCTGATGCATTATCTAAAGCCTGGAAATGGAAAACATGCTGTGTGAATGCAAACGCATACAGTATGTTCACAAGCAGCTTGAGTGTGAGTGCATTGAACAGGCAGTTTACAGTCTGTATTGCAAGTATGTGCTTCTAAATAATACAGTCTTGTTTGTATATGCACAGCACAAGGTAGCAGCCTGCTGGCTTATGTTCAGTACAGGTACTCGCAAAACATGTTAGAAGGAAGTCTTATGATTGCAGAGATCTATCCAGGACTTGTTATTTCTGCTACTTGCTTCATTCAGAATAGCCCCAGTTTCTTGCCTTTTCTTGAGTCTTCTAAACCTTATGAATATTTTTTTGATAAAAGATGATAAAAATTGTTTACTTGGATTTTCAGGTGTCTGTTGTTTTTTCATGTATTAGTTTGTTTGCAAATAAGTAGTTATTTGTTAGACACTGGAATTATATTTTCAAGTTATGAAGATACACTTTATAGCATTTTTTTACATCTTGGCCTTTAGAAATATTTAGAAACATTCAAATTTTCCAAAAATATCAAAAAGGGTAATGAAAATAAAGTTTTCTGAAATATCAAAAAGGGTAATGAAAATAAAAAATTTCTATAAAACACAGGAAATCTTTAACTTGCAAAATTGCTGAATATCATGAGGAAATTGCTTCAAATTAACTTTATTTCTTATATGCATCTTCAGCTGTTCCCCATTGGAGCAGCAAGGATAGGATGCTCTAAGAAGCTCTGGTTTGACTCTGAACTAGTGTTTTATGTTCTGCTAGAGATCTACAGTAAGATGCATTTGTATCTATTGTGTCTGTTATGTAAATACGTGGCCAGTTTAGAACTCTATATGTCAAAATCAGTTGGAGAGAAGAGACTTTTATGCATGGATGTTAATATGGAACAACTGTCTTTCTCGGACTTGATTGTGGATAGAAATGTTAAGAACAAATGACCATTACTTCAGGGAATGATTGGAGGTCTTTAATATGAAATATAATTAGGAATATTTGTTCATCCTGTGAGAGAGATGTCCTCTCTTTCAACTCTTTAACTGAGATTCAGATAAACTGCAATATTGATGATCCATCTAGGATATTGAATTCATTTTGACTTTCTGAGCTCCAAAATTCCTAGTGTTCTGGTTTCTGTTTCTGCTATGCCTTTCTGAATTTGGTATATGGGAGGTGAAAATTATATTTCATTTGGAGTACAACAGTGAACACAGTGATTTTTTTTTTTTTTCCCCTAAGACCTTGTGTGAAATGTCAGTGACTACAAAATAACCCATTTAAGTTTACTTACTATTTAGAAAAGTGTATGAATTCTTTGTTTAGTACTTCCCACTATTTATTGTCTTGCATATGGCTAACACTGATATTTTTCTTGCTACTCTACTACAAATCCATTTGATTTTGTTCAAAACTTCTGGAGTTTGATCTTGTCTTTTTATCTAGCAAACAACACTGTCATCCCCACAAAATTGTCACCGTTGCCACTGATACCATTTACAAATTTATAGCAAATGTACCCACTCTTTTGGAAACTTAGGATGTCCCAAGTGACAGAATCTCTGATTTTCCATTATGGCACAATTACACTGCTTTCAAGATGGGGAAAAAAAATCCGTTCTACATTCTGTTAGTGTTTCACTGAGTTTAATATATCATAATCAGTATCTGATTTTGGCACTTCTCCGGGTGTCCAGTATCTGAGCATGATCAAATTGGAGATGCGTTTGTCATTTTCTATCAAGTTATATTACCTGACTTCTAAGTTATTTATTGAACATGGTTCTTTTCCTCATCTCATCCTGGCTGAACATTTGTGTGACAAGTTTATTCATTTCAGGACTAGTGAACAGAGTCACTGTATTACAGGGTTTGGTTTACATAATGTTGTGAAGTAACATCAGATGCATCTTGAAATTGGCATGTACTTTCTTCAGTTAGGTACATTTTAAATCATAAACTGATAGAAGAGTATTATTAGGTTAAGTTTGTAGCTAAAAGGAGTATGTTGAACTTCTCTTTCGGCAGTCTTTTTGGGGATATTTCATTGGAGAAGGGTGAAGGAACAAACAAGTTTCCATGTCATACCAGATCCTCACAGAAATACAGTTTGCACAAAATCAGAGAATTCATGTCATTTTGTTAGAAAATAGGAGTATCAGGACAAGTCTGATATAATCTAATGAAACTGTTTTTTTGTGTGTGTTGGTGGTATTTTTTTAAAAATAAAACCAGTGGTAGAGACCTGAGAGGGAATATTCCTTGATGATAAATAGTAGTTTTTGTCTAATCATACCTCAATACTACAAAACACAATAAGTCTATGTAGTGAATGATTCTATATCTAAGTGATGTTTCTGTTGAAATTTGTACAGAAGTTTTTTTCAGTTATCAATAAATGAAAATCAGACGTATGTAATACCTTTTGAAATGGGAGTGCAGATATTAGAACAATGCCTTTTGAAAACAGGCTGCAGTATAAACACAGCTATCAAGTTGTATTATCAGGCAGCCAAAATAGACAATAACAATTACAGTATTTTATTTTTTGACAGGAATGTTGGTTCATATTGCCAGAATATATTCATAATGCCATTTAACCCTATTTCTTGCAGTTAACAGATTTACTGATTATTTGATTTATATATTGGTCTTGATAATGCTTCAGAAAGAACACCAGAATGGATTCCTTTAGTAACTCAAATGGCGGGAGTTTTGACTTTGCTGGATTTAATTTGGAAGTGAAAGGTGCGGCTTAGATCAAGAAATTTCAAATACATACACCTTAATTTTCCAAGCCATCAGTCTTCTAATTGCCATAACACCATTCATTACATTAGCATTAATATATGAAATATATCTAGGCATTTTGCCCAGTTCTAAGTACAGTGCATAGTTGTCTTCCATAAATACTCAAACAGCCATTAATGAAAACTAATGGCCCATCAAGATTTGTATTTGGAGTAGTGCTTGAAATCTCCAAAGGACTGTCCACAAAGCTCGTATAGCCATTTTTGGCATTCAGAATTGCTGTTTCCCAATATGTTGCTGCTCTTAATGCTAATTACCCAACAAAATGGATAAATATAACAATTTTAATGTATATTATAACTGAGTTTCAGCAACAAGATTGTAATTAGTGATTGAAAAACATTCTTGTTAGCACAATCATGCAAATAAATCATTTAACTTTAGTTCGCTATTTAAAGATCTCAGATACTGCTGCTGGCTTTTTTCTTTTCTATTTTGTGAAGGCAAAATTGGTGAAGTCAAGTGACTTTGTAAATAATGAAGTATATTTTAAAAATAAAAACAGATTAATTTAACCTAATCAAAAAAAAGAAAAAAGATGAATTGACTAGTGAAGCAATACAGTCTTTCCAAATCTTCCAGTTACTGTCAAATATAGCACTTTTTTTTGTATGATTAAAATTAATTTAAATGACATCATTAAAACCTTTATTCTTTAGCTCTGTGGAATACTTGGCCAGATAGCACCATTTCATGTTTTTTGGCCCACAGTTGTACAAGGTTTGGCCCTCAGGTGCCAGGATTTCAGAATCTGATCTTTTTGTTAATATTGGGGTATCTAGGCTGAACCGTTGCCGTGTGCCTTGTGGAAGATATCTCTGTAGGTATCTATATGGAGTATTTTGTAGTTGTCACAGTTGCCAGTGTGATCTAAGTTTGATACTGTCCTTGGGCATTCCTAATTTATGAGTCTTGACTGTTGTCCCTGACAATGTGGTCGTAGCTGTGACGTGCAAGAGAGCTGGGCGATCATGCTGCTCTCTTCACCGAAACCAAAACGTGGCGTGAGGCCGCTGTTGAAGGCACTTCTGTGCTCTTGATGCTGTCCTTCAGAGCTGCTGTGCCCTTTTATGTGGACAACTCCATAGATGGTTGCCAGAATAGTGAAGACCATCTCTAGGAATTCTTGTGTTTTTCTTTCATTTGAACCCTTTCTTTCTTCAAGCCTTAGAAATAGGGAATACAAATCTTCTTTGAGATCTGCCGGAAAGATTTTCAAAAGTACTCACTTCATGTCCTTTTCTTCTGTTTGTGTTATTTCCTCTTCCTTGATAGATCTCCTCTGCTTTTTTCTACTTTTTGCTTTGTGATTGATGAGACTTGTTCTGCTGGCCATTTAAACAATATCAAATGATGGCATGAAACACAGACTACTCAAAACTTACCTGCAAAAAGTGATAAACCTTTAACAGCAGGGAGTCTCATTAGCTTTCGCTAGATGCATAAAACGAACAACTTTAACTGAAGAGACTCTTTCATCAATCCAGAAAAGTCAAAGTCTCCAAGTTGTGTGACCACAAGTGACCCTAGTAAATGTTGTTTTCATTTGTATTTTGGTTTTAGAAAATAGTTGTATTTTCTGAACAAACGTAAACCAGGCTAATGTTGATATTTATATGATATTAATGAGGCTTCAGAAATAACATTTTCTTGAAGCAATATTGAGAAATGAAATAAGAAATATATGTTTCTCATGAATTTTCAGTTTCTTGAAATTTCTTTTAAATAGCTTTGTTTACATGTGTTGTTGTTTTAATTGTTATGGCGAAGAATATCTTTACACTAATACTGACTTCTAAATCTTAACTTCCTTTCTAAAGGAAGCTTACTTTCTACAGAAACTGCTATGGTCACTGTTAAAAGATCAAACTCTGTATTTCTATACTTATATCACTTATATTTCCTGTCAGAATTTAAGTGAAATTTTCGTAACTAAGGCCATCTGAAATCCCACCCCTTGAAAAAATGTCACATATACTGCAATTGTGCAGTATATGCAAGTGAGAATCCCCTGCCGTAACATGACATAACATGACTGGTGTATTCTATGAGCATGGATTTGTGAGGATGATTTGAAATTTTATTGGATAGCAAGTTTGTCATTACATTTGTTTGTTCTTACATTTATTTTTCTGTCTCATGTAGATTGCGATGAAAAGTTTCATAATGTGGTAGTCTCCATTTCTTTTTGCATGAATGACGATTCTCAATTCTTTTATATGTTCTTTGTTGTACTTATTAACTTGAACATGCAGACCAAGTGCTGAAAACCTGGAACCTGGGTCTCTTTTGTTGGTTCATACATAATGGCAAAGTTTGAGAACCAAACATCTGATTTGTGACTACAATTCTCATGTGAAAAACTGCGATAGATATTTAAGATGAATGTAAAAGTTAATTCCTAAAGAGAAAAAAGTAAATAAATAAATGTGATTTTTCCTTCAAAATAAAAGATATATGCTTGTATTCTTGGTTCTTTGAGCAGTTTTCATTATAGCTCAAAAGTTTCTTTTCCATTGGATTTCAAGCATAAATAATACATTAATGCAATCCTTTTTGCTCATAAAATTTACAAATTTTACAGATAAAAAACTCTGGTGGGCAGACCAGAATTTAGCTCAGATGGGGACCTGCAACAAAAAAGATGGAAGAAACCCAACTGTCCTGCGAAACAGAACGTCAGGTGTTGTACATATGAAAGTGTACGATAAAGCTGCACAACAAGGTATGTTACGTTTTAGGCATGTTTAATCAACTTTTATATTACATGTTTTCTTTTCCAGTATCATTTTCCAAACATGGCTAAAGTGAAATAATACTTACTTCGTAGTAAGTTGGTAATAAAATATTACTGAGTAAGTCACTGAGTATAATAGGATAAATGATTCGAAGTACCAACAAATGAGTATAGTTCAGGTTCCTGTGGGATGTGAAAGTTAAAAATTTGTAGGCGAAACAAAACCAGTTAATGTTGGCACCTCCTACCAAACTATTGAAAGTCTAAATAAATAAAGTATTATTTGAGAAGTCACTAATATTCTAAATTATCTCATTATTGTAAGACACTTTAATCTAAATCCCAGAAGTGACTGTGTTATAAATCTCATTGAGATATAGCAAAAAGCAAAAAATTAGGGAAATGATGGAGAAGAAATGGAGAGAAATGGAGAAGAAATGGGAGAATGGGTACATTTGACTGAAGAAAAAAATTTGTCATTGACATCTGTTCGTACTTGGGTGCCTGTCTAAGTCAGTGGGTGAGTGAATATGTGTGATCCTGTGAGTTTGGGGACTCTGGGGGGAATACAGACAAGTACAAGAAGTGTCCTGCATTCTTCTTCACCCTGGAGAGCTGTACATGCCCCTCATCTCCGTACACACAGCTTGTTTATGAGAATATTCACCTAGCCTGAAATTCCTACTAATTTCAACTGTCCCAAATAATTTTGAGTTTAATGCCAGTGCTCAGGATATATATCCTGGGAGTCCAGAGAGTTCCAGTACTTGTATTGGGTAGCACTTGGCATTTGGTAGACAAATTCCAGTCCCGTTATTAATTTTAACAGCTATATTTTAAAACAAAGTTCAAATCATAAATTCAAATTCAGGGTTATTGCATGTAAGAGTAGTAATGACAGTTGGCTAAGTGTACCAACAAAGCATCAGCTAAAATGTACAGCATTTTGTCTGCAGTAAGCTTTCCATTAGATTGAATTAGAAACATTTTCCTGTTTATAGTTTATTCATGGAACATAATGTTCTATTTCCCTTGAAAGTAATGGTTTTCTCTGTTTTGGACTGCAAACTGTCCTGAAACAATTTGGAATTGTCCCGTGCCCTGCAAGGGCTAGCAGGGATTTTACTCTTCTTTTGCAATTGAAAACACACTATATTTTCTCTTTATGCAGTTATTAGGTTTTTCAATCCTTAAATTCTCCTGGTTGAGAAGAACTGCTGTATTGGTATTACCTTTTGATAAATTATTAATATCTGTTGATATCAACACATGTTTTAGTAGGAATTAGGTTGTTTCAGTTTTGTTTGCTCTTATCTCCTCTCCCTTGTCATGCTATAGGCAGTAATTCCTGTCAGCTAAACAATGGTGGATGTTCCCAGCTTTGTTTGCCAACATCGGAAACCACCAGAACTTGTGTTTGTACAGTGGGGTACAACCTTCAGAAAAACCGCATGGCATGCAGAGGTATAGTATTGTTCAGTTTTTACTTTAACTAAATTCAGATTTCTAGAAAAACTGAGAGGAAAAAATAAAGAATCTGTATTTAAAGGTTTAAGCAAAAAAAAAAAAAAAAAAAAGTAGGAACACAGCTTATATCCAAAATCTTACATTTTGCTTCAGTAATACAGAACAATATAAGTCAAACATCATCTTACTGTGCCTTATAGTTGTATAAATCTGCTATTATTTATCCCTACATGGAACTACTGCCTTGTCCAATTCAGAGTGCTGTTTTGGAAGGCTGCAAACCAGTTCTGGAAAACGATGTCCAGTACTTATTAATTTCTCAGTTCATGTTAATTAGGAAGCACTCCATTTTGCTGTCATTAACTATCTGATTTTCCCATAGGTATTGAATCATTTCTTATGTATTCTGTTCATGAAGGAATTAGAGGAATTCCTCTTGATCCAAATGATAAAATGGATACTTTAATGCCTATATCTGGAGCTTCATTTGCAGTGGGCATAGACTTCCATGCAGGTAAATATTGTGCATAGTTTACTGTATATGTGGTAAAATCCATAAAATTCTATGAATGAAATCATATTCTATAAATGAAATAAAAACACAGTTTTCAAAACTTGAGTAACACAACTACATGTAAAGCTAGTGGAAGTTGTGTGTTACACTGTTAAACTCTAGCTATTGATGAAAGATACAATAAAATAGATACTTTGAATTTATGCTGTTTAATTAAGAAGTACAATCAACAAATATTTTCTATGGAGACAGAGACTTCAAAAATACTCTGAGCTAAGTTTAAAAGATGTAACTATGAATGTATTTTGCAAATTTATTTCACAAACTTGTTTCATTTCTGTAGTCTGCATTTATAGGGACAGACCTTTTCCACAACCTGCTTCCTTTCATGTGTTAAGGAGTAGAAACAAAATAGGTTCTTTCTGCATGGTGTTGGTCTGGTGCAAAACAAGTCTTAAAAAAATATGCAGGCTTTCTGGGCCTTTAAGGTCTGACTCTACTGTGATTGAAATCAAATCAGTTGATATTTAAATAAAAAGTAGCATGTAACTTTATATTAGAGTGATACAGTGAAGATGTGTAATGTTATAGATGAAATTAAAAAAAAAATCATGCATGAAGATATAGATTGATGTTTCCCATCAGTATTAATTCTCCTCATTTCAGATTCCAGCAATCTTTATATAGACATTGAAGGCTTCAAAGTGAGCGTAGATCATATTGCTGTCTGAAACCAGAGCTGACTGCAGGAACCAGATGCTGAACTGAATTTTCATGTCCGTTCTGTTGATTTCCAATAACTTCCAATATTTTGGGGAATAATAGCAGTTTGTTCTATTATTACATTGGCAGTGCTGCCTGACTGAGACAGCACTGACAGATCTGTGCAGTATCTCATTAGACTTGCAGTGTTCACTTTGCAAGTTGAGCAGACTCTGTAACAAAATACAGGCCAGTTGCCTTATCTGAGTTGCCATTAGCAATGGGATGTTATTCCCTGAGTCCTCAGTGGTTGAATCCCACAGAGAATGTTATGCTCTACATGGACACAGAGAATTCAATTACTAGCAGAAAGAAGCCCTCAAAATTGCTGTCTCATAAAATGAGAGAGAAATGTGATTTGGTCACACCATCTGTGTCCAAATGCAATCTGAAACGTTTAGTAGTGCTATCTGTATTTTAAACGCACAGGGATCCTTGTTTAGTAAAAGTTAATGTAGAGGACACTATGACAGTATAGCAAAAGAGTCTCTAACATTTTCTACCTTTTTTTTTTTTTTTTTTTTTTTTTTTTTAATATTAAGGACCTGAAAATCAGTATTACACTTTCCAAAGTAATGTAGAGCAAAAGTTAACAAATGCTTGGCCTTGCTATAAATAAAAGCCCTTTGTCGGTACTTCAGAAGAAAAATTTTTTGTTTGCCTTGGGACGTATTTTAAGAATTATATGGAACATCTTTGAAGAATTATATCAAAATCTCAAATTGAATGTATGTTATCACTATATTTAAGGAAAAATTAATTCAGGATATGAAGGCACGTTAGACACACAGTTACATAATATGAGCATTTAAATTTTGTTTACTGAGGTTTAATATCGGTGTAGTAGTGAGAGATTTGACTTTGCTTGCCAAGACTGAGTGCATTATTTATATACAATTCTATTGTTGCCAGTGATTTAATATTCTATAAAAATTATGAACTAAGGTTTGCATTCATTGTATTTTGCAAAATATTGGGAACAAATATAATTTATGAATAGTTTTAATCTTCTAATATTTATCTTAAAGCAATTTATTCTTTTTTAATTAAGTCTTGCTAACATATGATAGTGTTATATATTTAAATACATTATTATAATTCATATAAAGCTACTGAAAGTCTTATAAGAGTTGTTTTATTTGTATGACACATCTGAGATGGTGTGCCTGTTTTGAAGAACTGTACAGTAGGAAATGGGCATGGAAAAAGAGAGAAAGTACTGTCAACTGCAAAATTGAAACTAGGGTATTTGTTCATCATGGACTGCATGCTCAGCCTGCATCATTTACCTTTAGGGTTTCTTTTTAGAAGTTGCATGCAGCATATGCTCTATGATTTTTCCACTTGCAGTACTGATCGGACTTTTCATCTCTCTCAAATATGATATTAGGAAGATCTGTTTCATCTCCAAGCTTTCAGCAGTTTGTTTTATTTTTCCCAAAGCACTGATTCTTACGCTTTTTGGAACAACAGTCAGTTGTTAATCCTGTTAATTTCTCTCGGAATACTAGGCAGATTTATTGTTTTCACTTGTCATTGAAAGGACTAAAAATGGTATCAAAGAAAAAATGTTTAATAGTTCTGAGAATCCATTGCAAGATTGGGAATATTATTTGAAATATCTTATACTATATCCATTTCTTCTGGCTTCAGTTGCTTGGTTCCTACCATTCTCTGTGGAATAAGTATTTTGTCTTTTAAACCAGAAGTAAGTGTGAAGGTTCAGCAAAGAGAGGGAATAAACAGTCACAGTGCGTTACAGGCTAAGAGCTGATAGATCATGAAGTTGAATTTAAAGAAATAAAGTATCTTCACAACTGAAAAAGTCTAAGAGGAATAAAAAGGTATTGGTACTGTGAAGGACTTAGCTTGTAGCAATTGCTCATTATTTTGAGAAACCCAAAGCAGATCAGTCACTTATCAAATAAAAGGGATGTAAAAGGAATCTATGATGAAGCAACTGTGATTGCTCATAGTAAAATGAGTTTGTCCAGACAGCTTCTTTGAAACTTTTGGCTCCTGCAGGAAAAATAACAGAGGAATGTCCCTATATCTGTTGATTCTTAATCTGCTGTTTCATACTTACATTGCCAGGTGTTTAATATCCTGCTCTACTAATCACTGTCTGTTGCATGGATGAGATGGAGAGATACTGAAGTAGTTTTTTTCCTGTAAGATTTATTGTAACAGAGAGATGCATGCAAGGGTTTCAGAAATCAACACAACTTAAATACAGAGGGGCAAATATCTATTGTGTGAAGAATGTAGAGGCAAGAGCATGGTCATCACCTGGAGGAGAGGCTGGCTGTGCAAAACAGATCACTGTTTGGGAGCATCTCAGCAGCTTTCATCTGTGAAACTGAATGTTCTGATCATGACCTTGTTTTTCCATCCTTTGTCCTTGGTCTGATTTATCTTGACAAAGACAGTGTCAGCAGTGAAAGTGTAACTTCCAGCAAGATAGAGCAAGTCCCCAAAGAATTGTGGTCAGCATTTGGGCTCATAGATGAGTTGCTTGAGACCTCCCAGAAAAGTGATACACCTTAAAAAGCTCATCTGTCCTTCAGGTGATGACTAATGAGGCCTCCAGTGCTTCTCCTGTCTTCCACACTGTATGTACTTTCCTATGTATTTATTTTTTTGCATTGCTTAAAGGCCCTGCATATGTGACCCTGTGTTAAATTAATTGCTTCACTATCTTTTGTATTACTAACAATACAATTCCAAGACTGCCCTTTGACAGTTCATTGGATGTGCCTGCATTGCTTAGGTTGGCATGAATTTTAGTTTTCAACTGCTTGTTTTATTAATGAGTTAGGGAGAAGAGAAGATTTTTCTTGAGTAAACATGTAGTTTTGGAAGGAAGAGGTCTGATTTTAATTTTGAATTCATATGTCTCCTTCATGAATCAAATACTATGTACAGTGTAAAATCTGTTTTCAAAATATGGAGAAATACTTCAACTAAATGTGTAATCAACCCATCTCTCTCAGGTATAATACTTTCTACGTATATTGTTCCAAATGTACAAGTTTTGATCCACATATGTCAATGTAGAAAAAGATTTCAGGAGTCTGAGTTTGTAAGGAAAGATTTCATTCAGCCCATCCTTTCTGTACTTTGATTTTTTTTTGATGTTTTCAGGTTTTGATAACCCATAGGTGTAAAATTTATGAAAATTACAAACTTCTGCTGAAATTAAGTCTCTCAAGCTTTTATATTCTGTTCTATTGGTCCATTAATGTGTTAGTATAGTTCTTGTAGCATAAGATATTATTTACTTCCATTTTTAGTGTGAAGATACTGTTGCCAAAATAACAGTTAATGTTCTTTTTATGCTACAGGTATTATTTCCTCTGACATAGTGAGTATGATTAGGTTTCCCTGATGAGTTCCAGTTCCCAAACTACTTGCATACTGTTTCTGCTTAGAAATTCTGGTCGCTTTACAGGAACACTACCAACTAAATAAAAATGAATTTGTATTGATTTTAGATAGTATTCTCCCCATTGTTTTAAAAATGTGCCTGATTTTACAATTGGGAAGTGTTTTTATAGCTTTGGTGTGATGTACATGTACGTATCTGTGGTTTTCTGTCTGCAGCCTCTTTTGTCTGTGTGCATAACCATTAGTTGCTTTCTACCTGTTCACATTCAGGTCAGGTATGTTGTGTATTGAGGAACAATATGCATCCTTAATGGAGTAAAGTTAAAATATAGCAAAATACGGCACTTTATAGAAAGTAAATTAGTGTTTTAGAAATTCTTTTTGTGGCTGCTCTGAATAGAAAATAGAAAATAAAAATAAATAGAAAAAATAGAAATAGAATAAATAGAAATAGAAAAAAAAATAGAAAAAAAGTATAGTGTGTGGTTATCTGGTAACCCATCCACATAGTTCAATTGTTTGCATTTTTAGATTACTGAGAAACACTACTCCTGTTAGGTTGGTTGTTGCTCATGTGGCTAACTGTAAAATGGTCATATTATGAGTACAAAGTGGTTTATTTTTATAAAGATGATTTACAGTCTCAATTGGCAGTTTTTACAGTTCACTAGGACTAAAGTAACTGAATCCAAAAATCCTTGCTATGTATTTTATAGGAAATGATACAATCTACTGGACAGACATGGGCTTCAACAAAATTAGCAGATCTAAACGAGACCAAACATGGAAAGAAGACATTGTTACCAATGGTCTGGGAAGAGTTGAAGGCATTGCAGTGGATTGGATAGCAGGTAGGTCTTTGTATTTTTCAGGAATTATCATGTTTTATGACAGTACAGTCTTGCATTACCAGCCCTAGGCTAAATAGTTTGCTTTCAGCTTTAATCTCTAATACAGCAATTTTCTACATACTCTTACATGAAGATATAACACTTTTTGCAAATTTACTACCAACAGAAAAAAAACACCTTGGACATAATTTCTTACTTAGATAATCTTAACTTTGACGAACCATAAATACAGATTTCTTCTTTACAACAGAAGCCTGTATAGGACTAGAAATTGCAAATACAAGGTATACAATTTAAAATACATCAATGAATTCCTGGTCCTAAATTACCCACTCTACGATTTAAACGCTTCCCAGGTAGCATTTTCTTGTTTTATCTTTCAGTAACTTCATGGTATTTTTCCTAGGTAACATTTACTGGACAGACCATGGCTTCAATCTAATTGAAGTTGCCAGGCTCAACGGCTCATTCCGATATGTAATCATATCCCAGGGCTTGGACCAGCCAAGATCTATTGCAGTACACCCAGAAAAAGGGTAACATGATTGTTGCTAATTGCATTTCTTCTAAAGTCTGGTGCTCTGAGAGAAATTGAGGTATTCATTTTAAAACATAAGCATTTAATAAGCCCCAAAAAGGTATTGGAAAATATTTTATTGAAACTCAACACAGTTTGAGGAAAATGTTATTCTTTTCTTTCTACATGAAATGCTGTCTTCCCTTTGCACAAATTTTCATTTTCTGAGGCAATCATTTTTGCTGAAGTTTAGACATCGTTTGGAAGCATGTTTCAGTGTGTTGAATACTTCCTAAGTTTCCACCAAATCCAAGGAAAGCAAACTAGCAAATGAAAAGCTTGCGTAGTGATGAAGTAGTAGAACAGTATAATCCTTGATGGTCTTGAATTCATTATTGCATAATGAATTCATGTGGTACCTACCACATGCCTACCATTGCCTACAACAACAACCAGAAGATTTTTAGGATAACTGAAATCTACATTAGATCAGGCATATAGGTTTAAAAGAGAAAATAATCATATTAAAAAGAAAAAAGGGTTGCCATAAAATTGTCTATCTTCATCCATCTGTTTGACAAGAGCAAGGACTATACTTCAAGGACTATACTCACCCAAGTAAAGGATGTTTTATACCCTTTGAGCTGCAAAACTGTTGTTAACAGATGTGTAAGTAAAACAGAAACAGTAAATTGAGGAAATATTATTTGCCATCTTTTGTCACTGAGAAATATGAAATGGGCTTCCCAAGGAAAAGGCATGTGAACCGGACTTGGTGGGCTTAGCTGCTACACTTATTTTGCTAAAAGTCAGTCATATTGTGTTTAGCAAAGCCTGAAAAAAATATTTGAGCAGCTACCTGCCCAATAAGCTAAACACTGTGTGGCTTATTTCCCCCAGATTAAATTAAGTGAGTATCTCAGTATATTCAGGAAAACAGCCTCTGCGTTCAGTCAGAGAAATCTTCAGGCCTGGTGGTGAATAATTCTTCTAGATTCTCAGTAGGGCTGGATTGAAACCAATATATTTACTACTATGATTCCTGTTTGAATATTATTCACTCTTTATTATGTGAATGACAACTAGACATTGTTGAAGTGTGTTTCTTTCCCCCTTCCTTTGCTTCCATTGAATAGCAGCTTCCGTTGCTGCTATTCCATTTTTATCATTGCTCTTTATTACATAGATCCCTGGTCATCCAATCAAATATAGCTAATTTAAACGGATTTCTACACAGGTAGTACAGTTCAGTAATGCACAGAAGATTTGGCAGTCTGTGCAACAGACAAATACATACATTCCGCACAGTATGACGGTATTGTCTATATGTTTTGTTCACTTTGTGAAGTAAAATATTAACTTGTGTTTTGGTGTGTACTTATGAATATTTGCTCTGATAAATGCTTTCCTTCATGCAGCAGTACATGAAAACATAGTTGAATTGGGTTGTCTTAGAGGGAGATTTCTTGTTTGGAATGTACATGTATATATACATATATATCTATATATAGATACATAGATACTGAACTCATTATATATGAGTATATATGAATTTATTCCCAAATAAAATTCCTTTTTGTACTGTTTCCCATAGTGAAATTTCCTATTTTGTATTTAAGATATTTCTGCTGTGTTCTCACAATGTTTGTTATCAGGCATTTGAAGGGTTATTTTGTGCTTAAAGTTTTATTTTTCTGTTTGTTTTTATTCCTATAAACTCAGAGCTGTACTCATGTCTGTTCTCTGAGAACAGAGTTGCTTATTGACAAAATCACTTTTTTTTGAGAATGACTTCATATATATAATTCAAAAAATATAGTCTCAACAAAATGTTCTATCAAATAAATATTGCAGTACATTTAATCACCAAAGGTAATTTTCAAAAGCGAGAGCCTTACTGTCTTTTTTAAATACCTATTTGATGTTAATGATATGTTAATTTTGTTTCCAGTAGAAGTACAGGCTTGCACATTTTCAAATCTATTTTCATGATAAATTTTAATTGGTAATTTCTGCAACATTTTAGGTATTTATTTTGGACAGAGTGGGGACAGACTCCTTGCATAGGCAAGGCATACTTAGATGGATCTGAAAAGGTTGTGCTTGTGAGCCTGGGGATCGCATGGCCTAATGGGATTTCCATTGACTATGAGGTTAGTCCTCTGCCTTCCAGTATATATTAAGATGCACGCTATTTTTATGTTTCATTAAAGGATATTGGTATAGTCTTAATAACTCTCAATAAAACACTTGGACAAGTTTGATTTTTTTTTTAATTAATCTTTAGGAAAATAAGTTATATTGGTGTGATGCTCGTACCGACAAGATAGAAAGAATTGACCTTGAAAGTGGAGGAAATCGGGAGATTGTGCTGTCAGGGAGCAATGTGGATATGTTTTCAGTCGCAGTGTTTGGAGCTTACATCTACTGGTCTGACAGGTAATTTATTTTTCCATAAGCATTTGAGTCTCAAAATGTTATTTCAGTCCCAGGTGCTTCACCTTTGTAGGATTAGTCCTTCCTTAGCAAGGTCACAGAATGGATCTCAGAAAGCTATGCAATTTCCAATAAAAAGGCATTTTTGATGCTCAGAGCTGAAGCATATGAGTGTCATAGAAGAGAGTAGGTTTCTCCACCTTCTCTTAGGGGAGCTCTCCAGTGCCCTTCAGTCATTTGTTTGATTTGAATTAGTTGAGGATTGTTGATCAGACATCTTCAACTTTTTTGGCAGAGCACATGCAAATGGCTCTATTAGAAGAGGCCACAAGAATGAGGCCACGGATGCTGTGACCATGAGGACTGGCCTTGGAATAAACCTGAAGGAAGTGAAAGTCTTTAATAGAGCACGAGAGAAAGGTTAGCTGTTCTTAAGGATGCTATTAATTGTTTTAATATCACCTGATACTATCAATGTATATTAGAGTATAAAGAAAGTTAACTAATCACTGATTTGTAGCAATAGATTCTATTATAGTTCCACTTTTTAATCTTGAAGTTGCTTTTTATATTTTTTATTTTAACTAAATTCATGTTATTGAAGGAAATATAGAGTACAGTTTCTTCTAAAATATTTCTAGGTGATTTAAAGGAGAAAATCCAAAACCAAATGATTTTCTGTCTTTTCAGTTTTTTTTTTTTAATAACATTAAATGTATTAAAAAAGAACATACAAAAAGTCTTAGAAATGAGATGGCTGTTGAACTGTGCTTTAAAGAGCAATAAGCTCAGATTTCTATTGGAAAGCAAACCAGAATTTTGTTCCACAGCTACAAAATTTATTTCCCAAAAATCTTTGACTTGGATCCTTCCGTTTTGATGTCAAAAGTGATCTTGTGGACAACCAAACTTGATTTGTATTCAATCTGTTTTTCAAAGTGCCAAAGAATTTTAACTATCCTCTTTCAATTTGCAATATCAATGTTTAAATTTTATTTTCAATTATCTGCCTAATAATAAGCTTGATTTTTAGCGATGTTTTTCCTCCTAAAGTTCAGTTTTGAGGAAACTTTGAAAGGCAAAGATGATTTTATGAGAAAAGACAGATAGAACTTTGTCACCGTTATGAATACTTCTGTTGGTTTCAGTGAGCGAAGTATCTGAAAAGTCCACCAACAATTAGGGGGATTTCCTCTGAACAAACTGCTACCATGCAATCCAGATGAAATTTTAGATATATAGCAAAAAAAAAAAAAGGTAGGGGGAGAGGAGAAAAAGAAAACGTTACTGAAATACCGCTTGTCCTTTTTAATACAGAAACACCTCCAGTGTTGGTAGTATTTAAAAGATGCTTTAATCCACAGCATTGCGTATTTGAAGATCCTCTTTCTTTTATTGACTATACACTTCATATTCAATGAAGTTACTTAGGAAAAATGTAAAATAAATCTGCTTTGTGAAAGGAAACATATTAAAAATTGAGAAGAAAAGCAATCTATTTTCTTTTGTTTTTTTCAAGGGAATTTTAAATATTTCTGAAAGAAAGACTGTATAGAATTGTATATATTTTAATTAGATTTTAATGAGAATTTATGCATGTAATTTCACAAGTTTTATGGGCATAGTATTTTGTGATTTAAAAAATCTTCACACAACTTTATATTTTCTTTTGCCTGGGCTAGAAATACTTAATGTCTGCTTGCTTGGAAGGGCATTGTATTGTAGAATTAGGAGAACAGAACAATTGGATAAAAAATGCTTCTTTACATGTAATGATTTTTATTAATATCTTTAAAGACTTGAGTGCTTTAGGAATATGAGAAATGGTTACTGAGGCTAAAAATCTTTTGATGATAGTTTAAAAAACATATCTGAATGATTTTTAATACATTTTTCAAATTTTACTAGGCTACAAATGGTTAATGTCTTTGGGAGGGGCTGTCAGTGAGCCAGGAGGACTGGGAAAAAAACAGGTGAAAAATATATTTTTGGAATGTTCTTATATCACAAAAGGTCATAGCTTTTTCTTTTCTTTTCTTTTCTTTCTTTTTTTTTTTTTACACGTTTATTGAGGTAGAAATAGTTAAAGCTGTTTAAAAAAAAATAGCTGGTTTCCTGACCTTCTGACATGAACTAAAACCTATGCTGACTGACAAGTGATTAATCCTTTTTTTTCAAACACCTGTTTTACCCTTTCTGATGACCCAATCCTGCAGTACAATTTACAAGCATATTCCTATCCTACAGTACTATTTTACATGTTCAAGAACATGCCCGGACTAAACTGTTTTTAGAACTGGCCATTTTTTAAGATATTTGCATATGGTAAGCTGTGGAAGCACAGAAATTTTCAGATATTTTACAAACTTGAGAATCTTACTCATTTATTTCAATTCCTCTTCTCAAACACTCATCCTTCCAAACAGATATTAACCTTTCTAGCCTAATAAAAGATCCTTTAAAAAGAAACAACCAGCAAAAACATGTATACAGTTAACTCTCCAAAAGGTTTTAGATGGCTGTGGAGGAGCATTATTCGTATAATTTTGTGTAGGAAAACAAAATTTAACTTCTTAACAAAATTTATCTCTAATTCTAAGAGCAACTTAAACCCTGCCTCCATCACCATTATTTTTACTTAAAAGTATCTTCATCTTGAAATGTAGCAATTAGAAAATGCAAATATTCAGCAGTGCTTTCAGATTGCTGCCTATTCCCTGAAAAGAGAGCAGTCTATGTAGAATGTTTTAATTTCCTTCATTATGGGGAAAACTTCAGAAGCGGGAAAATTACTATACTGAAAGAGCTGAATCATATGGAAGATGCTGTCAGAATAAGAAACTAATTTATCAAAACTAACTACACTAGTATTTCATACAGAGTTCAAGAAAACAAAGGAAAATGGCTTCTAATTTTTCACAATTGCTGTAACTTTGAGTTGCTGGTAACAACTCTAGTTAAAGTCATTGGTGTGACTAGTCTGACACTGATTCTTTTAAGCTATGGATTTGTCAGGGAGTTAGTTTGTAAAGTTGTTTCAAAAGAGACTCACAAAATGGAAATATCTTTACATTAGGAAGAGGAAACTGGATCAATACCGTTTTATACCTGTTAATATATATATATTTATTTTGATAGAAATTGTCTAGAAACAGTAGCATAGACTACTGTATATTGAGTATATTAAAATTGGACTCTTTTTTGCCAGTAACAGGTGTTTTAAAAAAAAAATCATTCAAAACACTTGAAACAGCTCATAACAGTCTTCAGCTAATTAATTATGGAGGAGAACCAATTTTATCATTTTATACTTATAAAGTATCCACTTTTGTGAATTGGAAAAGACATGAATTATACTGTTCATAGATTATATTCTTAAAATTGGCTGCAGGCTTTGATTAAAGTTATATTCTCTTTTGCCCTTTGTTTTACTCATGAATAAGTAGAAATAATTTACATGAAGAATTCTTGATATACATTAAAAATACATAAGAAATAAGTCCTAATTTAATTAAGTGTAATATTATAAAAGCTAGATTTCTTTCTTTTCTTGCAGGTACTAACGTTTGTGCCAAGAACAACGGTGGGTGCCATCAGCTTTGCCTGTACCGGGGCAGCGCGCAGCGGACGTGCGCGTGCGCGCACGGCTACCTGGCCGACGACGGAGTCACCTGCCTGAGACATGAAGGCTACCTCTTGTACTCAGGAAGGACCGTATTAAAAAGCATACATCTTTCGGATGAAACCAATTTAAATTCTCCGGTGAGGCCCTATGAAAATCCGGAGTATTTCAAAAACGTGATAGCCCTCGCTTTTGACTACAGTCTGAAAGGAAGAGGCACAAACCGCATATTCTTCAGCGACGCACACTTTGGAAATATACAAGTCATTAAAGACAACTGGGCAAGCAGAAGAGTGCTGATTGAAAGTAAGTAAAGAATTGACTTCTCCAAACACTTGTTTTCTTTAATTAACCTTCCTAAATGAAAAGTTGATATCTTGTGATTTTACGGGGTAAAAATAACAGTACAGTTATGCCGCAGTTAGCACAATTAGTGTAATTGATCCCAGTATGATATATTTTAAAACTGTATTTTATTATTCCTTCTTTAAAACAAATTTTTAACAGCCATATGACGTACGAAGCGTATTCATTAAAAGCAAAGGTGATAATGATGTTACTCAATTCATATTGCTGTGATTTTGAGGATCTATACTACAGAAACAAGACCTCATTGTACAATGTCTAGACATGAGAAGTGCCCTAATGCAATGAACTTACTGTTTGCTTATTTTTTTGTATTTGGTAGAGGTATTGTCAGAGCCTGCAGCTGGTGCAACCAGGTTGTTGAGTGTTTCTATTTATTATGTTTCTTTCTCCTCTTCGCTATTTCAGATTACAGTTAGATTTTTCTCAGGCTGCAGTTTGTTTCAGTAGCTGTTTTTCGTGTCCGATGTGTTTTATGAGGAGTTTTTTTATGTTGTGGAAAACACTGCTTAATTTAGCTGACTGTTGGAATCAAAGAAAGTCCTTCAGAATGTACAGAACATTTCGTTGTTTTTATATTAGTTATATAAAGTGCATTTATATTGAGTGGGTTTAGAAAAGACATAAGCTAAACAGTTACAAACTGAAGAAACTTGATTCTACAACTTGCACTGGATAAACATGTCATTAAATACATCTGTGCTGTGATTACTGGAAGGTATTGCTAATCAAGATGACTGCTCGTACTGACGACTGGAAAAGGATATTTCACGCATATGATAGGAGCCCTTTATTTTGAGTTTTTTAATGGTTCATTTTTAGAAATTGATTTTATCCACATTAAGATAAAGACTAAACAAGCAATGTTGTAGAGATGTTCTCCTTACTGCCAATGACGCATTAAAACCCAGGGTTTCAGAGCTGAGATAACCTGCACAAGAGACACAGCTCAAAGAAGTGTGCAGTGATTGTGTACGATCAGTATTTTAACTCTGCTGTGGTAAGAAAACATGAAAAGTGTTAAACGAAAAACACTACAGACTTTTTATATTTAAAACAGACAAAAAGAGAGGAATACTCGTGAAGCAGCAATGCAGATACAGAATGGATTTTTAAAAGAACAATAAAGTATTTCTCATTACTTTATAATAGGCTGTTGCACAAGAGCTAAAGACATTCCACAAAGCATATTTGAGAATTATAATTTGAAAAAAAATGGTAGGTAGTGTTTTATACTTGTAATCCTAATATGCTCGATTTCATTTTTCATTAGCAGAGTCAGCACTCTGAATAATTGAATGTCAGATGGCATTTTTTATCCTTGCAAAAAATTAACTGTGTATGCTTGAGATATGTTTGTGAACAACATTGTTTGTATTGTAGAAATGCTTTGGTTGTGTTTTTGTTCCAAATGAGAAGGGATATCACTTTCCTGAATATACTCTCTGCTGCTCTCTTTTCTGTGTTTTAAGACCTTTTATTGATGTTGAGTCATTCACTTAAACTGTATTTTTGTACCGTTGATTCTTCTTCTCCACAGGCTTTGTACTTGATTCTTTCCTCTCGATGCAAAACAGAAATTGTTACATGTAATCAAAAGTATTTCTTGGTGCAGCTTGGTGTAGTGCAATTATTTGACTAGGAGTGGAATCTATAAGGGAAAAAGGAACGGTGGGATTACTTGACATTGGTGTTTCCATTTGCTGTAAGACATTTAAAATTCTAATATTTTCTGATTTCCGTCTTGACTATGTGTGATTACATATAAATTGTTCAGTGGAAGCCAGCTGACAGATTTCAGTAAGAATATTTCTTTACATTGTTAAAAATTACATATTTGGCATATTTTATATTTCTGCTCCAAAATTATTGATAAACATTTATTGTAAGTTTTCTTTCTAATACAAAGAAATATGAAACTGCCCTAAAATAACTTGTATGGTTCTATCAAATGTAGCCCCGTTCTACCTCATTAAGCTCATGCCTGCAATTGACGCAAAACATTACTCAGCATTTAACTCAAATAGTGAAAATAGAGTATGTGATATACAAGATACCGTTGGCACAGATTTCTGTTTCACTGAATGCAGATCTTCTGCTCGTAAAGAATCCATTAGCCGATGGGTTTCTACCTCACTGAAATCAGATATGCCACTCAAATCAAACATATTATTGAACTTTTCTGCCCACTAAAAACAGAGTTATGATACATAAAGAGTCCTTTATTAAACAGGTTTCCAGTTCACTGAAAACAGATTTACAACTCACGAGCAACCCATTATCTAACATGTTTTTAGCTCACTGGAACAGATTTACTACCCAGAAACAACCCATTATCTAACATGTTTCCAGTTCACTGAAAACAGATTTACAACCCATACGCAAGCTATTATCTAACACAGTTCCAACTCACTGAATATTGATGTAAAATTCATAAACAACCCATTATCTGACAAATTTTCACCTCACTGAACAGATTTGCAACTCATAAACAACCCATTAGCTAACACATTTTCAGCTCACGGGGAAGTAGATTTACAGCAAATAAACAACTTCATCTAACGTGTTCCAGTTCACTAAAAACAGATTTAGAACTCACCAAGACCCGAGTACCTGATAGGATTCTGTCTTCATCAGGGAGGAAGACCAGTACAAAACACACGTGTAGTGTAGTGTACACAGAGTGCCATAACTTAGCACCTTTATTTTTGTGTGGCATAGATTTTTCCTGCCTGTGAACTGTGGTTATAAAATGAGCTTTATTTCCTTCAGTCAATGAGAAAAGTTTTGATGATGATGATGAGTAACTGGATGGAATTAATCTTTCCTTGTCTTCACCTGACTGCCAATTTTTAAAAATACTTTTGCTGTAGTGACTCACGAAGTTCTATTTTGGGTGATCAGTTAACAGTTCAGTATGCCTTGTGATTTTATTGCTATATATAGCTCGCATATGATTTAATCCAGTCTGAAGATGTCTTTAAAATTAGTTTAGCATCATAGTGCTACCCAATTTAAATGTGCTAAGTGACATGATTACTATTGGTGTTGTGTATCTTGGCCTGTTAGCCTTGTTTTCCAAAGCAAGCATAAGAAATTTTCATTTAATTTTCCTTTGAATAGACGCCTCCAGAAACACCTATGAAGAAATGGGTACATATGTGGCTAGGTGATCCTATCACTATTCCACTTTCAATGTAAAGATTAACTGGGCACCTCGTAGACTTCACTGTACACAGATTAGCTTACTTATGTGTCAAGTCTGTTGCTTAGACTTGCTGTACATTTGTGTGCTTTTATATACCCTTGTGTTGTGAAAGCTCAGTGAACCTGTTTAGAAAAAAGCTTATGTATTCTTACAGTCCCAGAAAGTCCAAGGTGCCTTTTTTTCCCTCAGAAACCATGGAGAACCTTCATGGTATGCTGGTTTTCATAGTTAATGATGAAAAAACACAAAACTTGGTCAAAGGGATTATATTTGGAAAACACATGCTGATACCTGCTTTCTCTGCTCTTCAAGTTTGAAGAATCCTGCAGGACTCCCTTTACAGAGAGGAATATTTTTAATTTTGCATAAACTTTCCTGAGTTTTTGGTTGTGAGAACAATTGCCTTGACAAATCAAATCCTAATTCATTCACTACAGGGTTTGTAGGAAATTGAAATAACACATTAACAAAGTTAGGGGAAAGTGACGCTGAGTTTAAGTTAATACTCCAGGTTGACCATGTCAGAATGCTCCCTTTAGAACTTCTGTTCGACCCTACGTGAAGTAGAGCACTAAACTGCTGCCAGCCTCTCTGGGAAGATCGATTACTGAAAAATCTAGATCAAGACGGGGGAATAGAACACTATACAGAAAGAAAATACAGAAATAGTAGCATTTAAAGGCAGAGAGTTACATGAAGAGGTGTTTGGAAATCTGACATGTTTAAAATTGCTACAGATTATCAGCTTTATTTGGAGCAATAGGCTCTGTTCTCCTTCTAAAGGGAGCCCACAGGACAATTTTATTCGTATTTTCTACATTGCTAATCACTACTAGGCAGAACAGTACTTGTATTTCAAACTTGTGAACCAGTTTCTGGAAATAGTTTTACATGTGCAAAAAAAAATAAATAAATAAACAAAAAAGAGAGAGAGAGAAAGAGAAAGGGGGGGGGGGGGGAAGAAAGAGAGGAAATATTTTCCATCTTTTGTAGACCTAGTAGTGTGATGATCTGAAAAGACGTCACTCCCACATGGAACTGGAAGTCTCTGTTTGACCCAGGGGAAGTCAGTGGAAGGACATTATTTCAGGCTCAATTCGTTGTGGTTTTGCTAGAGCAAACAACTAATGGGAGTCTGAAATAAATTAAAATCATGATGATTACCAGTATCCTACAGTCTGTCTTGGGCTAACCAAAATTCATTTCCAGCTAGGCATGTTTACCAGAGTGAATTGGTCCATTAAGCCAAAATTGAAGTAATTGGGTTGGAATAACCCTTGCTCTCATCTTCACTTTTGCCTCCCTCCCTGTGTGCCCGTCTTAAGCAAAATCAAGAATCAAGACAAAAAATGAATAGTTTGGCATACCCATACATTCAGAAAACTGGTTCTTCACTTGCATAGTGCAAAGTTCAAAGCTGTTTTCATTTTTGGAACTTTTTTCAAAGGATTATGTTCATCTAAGAAAAAGGTTTTTTTTTTTTTTTAAAAAAAAAAAAAAAAAGGTTCTGTATCTAAGCTAGAGCAGTATCCCTTTTATCATGGAAGTTTGGGATAACATAAGTCCATTAACTAAACCTGCCTCAGTGGATCTTTGGGCAATAGTGAAGTGTTTGAATAATAAATTCATACTCTGTTTAAGGTAGTGGCACTGGTAAGTTAGAAGAGAAAGGGAGTAAATGAAAGGAAAGGCAAAAGGAAGCAAATGAGGAAGAAAAAGAAGTTTTAAGATG